TGTTCCATATGCTTTCGTTGAATTTGGTGTCGCTGATCACCTCAATTACGTCGCACATGTGCTCCTTGACTAAGAATCCAACTCCCCCCTCCCCTCTACTCTTGATTTTCTGTCCTCTCCGCATTTTACCTATCCATGTGTAGCTTCCCACTTCTTTTCCTATTTCTCCCCCGTCCTTCTCCCACGACTCTTGGACTCCGACTATGTCCAGGTCTTTTTCGGCTGCTTGCTCGGCAATTTCGAGTCTTTTACGCTCATCTGTGGCAAACCCGCATACATTCCAAGACCCTAGTCTGATTTCCTTACTCCTACTTTCTACTTTCCCGTGCCTTTCAGGATTCCTTCTGTCCCTCGTTCGCCTTCCCTTCTGCCTTATCCTTTCGCTGCTCCCCCCTTCCCCTACTTTGGCTTGCTTTCCCTTTTGATCCTTTCGAACCTCCTGCCCCCCTTTGTTTCCAGCCAGCCTTGGGCTACGCCTTACTTCCTGGATCCTTTTTGCTATGCACACCCTCCAACCTAGTCTCCTCACCCACGCCGACATCTTCTCTTGCGATACCACCAAAGGCTGTTGCAACAGGGCTGGGGCTGCCGACGCTGAGGGTACCACCGCAGGTCCGACCGGAACTGTCGCCGACATTGTGGCGGATGACGATGATCCTGACGTGGTCCTGGCAGCGGTTTCGGCACGAACATCGCGCCCTACAGGAGCTCCCGAAAAGCTCGAAGCGTGGTCTTGCAGCGGTGTCAGATGCGTTCGTGGGGAAGAAGATGGGGCAGGTGGTGGCACGCTAGGAGCGTAGGAGGGCACAGGAGGTTGTACATTCGCTTCGGCAGCAGCATCCACAACTTGATTTGCTCGCAGGAGAGTGAGTACTTGTTCCAACAGCATTTCAGTACGGGAAGTCGAAGTCGAGGCGTGTGATGCAGCATGGCGTGGCGAATCAACACGTTCGTCCAAAGTCAAGGAAGGTGTGGGATGATCCATAACGGCATGGGCAGGGGCATGGCTTTTCATAGCGGCTGAATGTTTGCGGAGTTGCATGTTGGCAAGTTTGAACGCCAAGGAAGGCATGGTCGGTTGACTTACATCAGCGGGCGGACGTAGAGCAAGCGGTGAAGAACAGAGAGAACCGTCTTCTGAAGCATCCTTGTTTTTCCCCAACAACCCAGAGCTACGAAAACCACCCCGATCATGCATCACTTGCCTGTTGCCGTGGCCTGACTTCCGTCCCCCTTTTCCGCCGCGACTGCTGTCAGTGCTGGTCGTCCTGCTGTTGCCCCCGCTCCGGTTCTGGCTCCGGCTGCGGCTATGCCTAGACGAAGGCGTGTTTCTCCCACGACGGTCTCCGCTCCGGCTGCGCCCACGCCTAGACGAATGATTGGTGCGCTGTTGACGTTCTGCGCTCCGACTCCTGCTCTGGCGGTGGTGGCTCGCCGGCGAAGACCTGGTAGGCTGGGTCCCCACGACTTGCCTTCGCCTGCCATCTCCGGTGCTGCGCCCTCGCGAAGACTGGGTGGAGCGGCGGTGGTCGTCCGTCCAGCTCTTAGACGCAGGGGCCGCCGACCGACTGTAGTCCTTGTCCCCTCCAGAAACATGTGCAGGGCGTGAAGGGGCCTGCCGGGGGGCTTGCAGATCGTGCTTGAAATCGTTGTTGGAGGCAGCACGAGCAAGAGGCAGCTGGAGTCCTCCATCTTCGGTCACCACCGACGTTCCTTGAGGACCGCTGGTAAAAGAGGCACGACGGAGGGCGAACAAAAGCCGGAACACGGACTGCCGCGAAGAAGGCGGAAGTTTCGCGATGTAGGGGGAAGAATAAATGTGCTCGAAAGCAACGGTGTTAGAGTGGGGGAATTGAGCACGGACGAGTTTTTTTACGCCAGCCCATGCAAAAAGAGCTTCCAGTTTATCCTCATCGTGGAAAGTTACGTCTTCGGCTGGCATCTCCAGTGGGCGGGACAGGAACGCTGTATCGCCAACATGGAACTCGTACCCTATGGTTGCGGCCGCAAACGATGCTCCGTCTTCAGCACCGACCGGAAGACCCAACGCCACCGAAACCTCCGGAGTCGCCGCCCCCTCCCGCCTGTTCTCGTTCGTCGGAGTAGCCGCCACCTCCCGCCCCTTCTCGTTCGCCGGAGTAACCGCCACCTCCCGCTCCTTCTCGTGCGTAGAGGCGGTACTACGGAAACCAACGGGCACCTGGGATTGCGATTGGGGAGGGACGATAATACGACGACGGGGGTAGGGCGAAGGAAAAGTTGCTGCTCGCGGGTCATGGTGGCGGGGCTCCAGGTCCTCCAGCCGCGATCGGAGCGCCCCCTGCTTCGCCCTAGCAGCTTGGAGATACGCCTCGCGCTCCGCCAGAGCAGCCGTACGCTCCTCCGCCTGCTTTCTCGCAGCAGCAGCCCGAGCAGCCTCACGCTCCTCCTCCTGCTTCCTCGCCGCAGCAGCCAGAGCAGCCTCACGCTCCTCCTCGTGCTCTGCGTCCTCGCGCTCCGCCTTCTCCCGTGCTTCCGCGTCTGCGACCTTTCTGGCAAGACCGTTGCACCACATCTCTCGTTCAACGCTTGATAGGCCATAAACTCATCGTGGGGTAAGAGGAGCAATTGTTCTTCCGGGGGAAGCGAGAAAGGAGGAACGAAAAGGGGAAAATCAGACGGCAGACGGGCCGTTACGACAATATCCTCCAGCGAGATACGTCCAGTGTTGTAGGCCCGCTCCAGTTCCGCCGAATCTGCCGTGGCGATGTTGGCCAGCAAATTATCGACGGTGAACACGATGGGCATGGGGCGGCTCTCGTCTCCCGCACCGGCCGCGGGAAACTGCTCTGCAGTGGGAGCCTCGCCCTCGGCTTCGTAATCCAGGATTTCCACACTGTCGCCCAGGAGTTCCACATTGCCGCTGGACATGGTGTCCTCTTCCTTAACAAGAACAGGGCCAAAGAGAGGGTATCTACGATCGATTGTGAAAAGGGCAGCACGGGCAGAAACAGCAGATGTAGGATAGCCAACCGCAATTAAGGCAGCAGAACCAAGAGCAGCAGAAGCAATAAAGCTGGGTGCAACTTCGGGAAAAGCAAGCCGAGGTCCATGCGAAAGGCGGAGATATCCACAGGATAGCATACACCCAGTGATAAAAGCTTGGTGCACACGAGGTTGAAGCGGATTCAACCAAGCAGAAAAAGCGTCCAAAAGCATTCCAGGCCACGCACAAACAGCAGTAGAAGCTAGCACAATAGGACCCGTGTTAGATGGAGACACGAGGGTTTCCGACCAAAAGACACGCAGAACAGCACGGCGTTCCTCCGTAACTGGTGCCGAGGTGCGAACAAAGACCGCTGTGGGTTTGCGCTGTTGAAAGGTTTCCAATTCAAATGCTTTGAGGGTGAACGATTCCCCGAAAAATAGTGCCATGTGATTTCGAAAAATTGAGGGAAGGCTGGTGGGACGGCTGACACTCAATTTGTGTGCACATAACGCGCTCCAAGTCGAAGTAAGCGAAGTCGAATCGGAGAGCACAACAGGAAAATCCGCGGACATCGGGCGGTACGCCGGCATGAATGCAGTAGAGGTGGTAGCAGACGTGGGAAGCATGCTGTCATCTCGGGTCCCACTACACAAGGCCAGCAACTCAGGTCGCTCCATGCAGAGCGTATCCGCCACCGAAATCACTTCATGGAACGCCGATGCAGACAAAATAGCTTTTGAGGGACGGCGAACGTTCGAAAAATCACCAAAAACATCGCGATGGCCTCCGAGGCGCGTATCCTTTGCAAGGTCCCAGTCCCGCGGGCGCTTCGCAAAAGCATCACAAGCAGCATCTCTACACGAGAGGAAGCAGAGAAGAGGCCAAGTCTAGATTCTCGTGGATGGTGAGACCAAATAACAAGCAACCCAGTGGTTGTGAAGAGAGTGTGGTAACAACACGCAGCAGTGTGGAAGCCGCGTCCAGCACCCGCTTACCGTGTATTGCCAGCTGACGCCAAGTTTAAAGGAGGTGAAGCCGTGGGCGGTAGCTTGCTCCTAGAGATAGACGAACGTTCTGTCGTTGACACGCTTATCCACGACCATGTTGAGATGGGAAAGTTGCTTGTTATTGCTGAGAGACGATCAGCAAGGGTCTGAGATGGAGTGGGGATCCAGCTTCATCTCAGGGGGTACGCAGAGTAGAAAATTCTAAGGGGGTAGGGGTCAGACGGGTATACCTCCTAACCGACCCGCATCCTATCAACAATAATATGTACCCTATTCATGCTAGCAGTCACACTCCTTAACACAGTCTGTCTACGGAGAGCATAACGTACGTATGAACAGGAGGGGGGGTGGAACGAGACTTCCACCGCCGATTAAGTACACGTACGACGTTACCGTAGCAGAAAGGCCATATTTTGTCCAACGCTTTTATTTGAATTGGGTCGAGCAATATTCCACATCATGTACAATCAAGACTGCTTCTCACGTCGACCCAAATGGCAAGTACAGCCAAACAAACAGTCAGCGGCGCCAAAACTGCCAAAAAAAAAGGCCAAACATGCTATATTGACTCCAGAATGTCACACACGCTGAAAAATATGGTCGAAGCAGACAGCAGTCCTTACCTAAAAAAAATACGGCAGGATCTTGAGCACAAGGGGAGTACACAAAATAGCTGCAAACACACACACACACACACACCGCACTGAGACTGACGTCTTGTCATTGGTCAGCCGGCTAGCGCGGTCGATGCTAATAATAATCACACACACACAGGTTTGTACACCACAGGAGCCCAGAGCCGAACTATCACGAATAAAATAAAGGCAAGGATCACAGCAAAGAGGGCTAACGGTGGTGGTGCCACCTATCTATCCAGCTCGTGCGTTTCCCACCCACCCCCACACAAGCACACCCTCCCCACAACCTACTCTCCAAGGTCTCCTCGTTCTCCACCATGAGGTATTTCGCACGGAGGAACCTGTCGTTGTCATTGCCACCATTTTGTCGCACACAAGCAAAAGCAGCAAAGGCAAACAGCGGAAAGCGCACGCGGTAAGCATGGGGGTTGGTTATTATGGACTATGGTCACCTGGGTGGGATTTAGGTCGGCATGCGCCCCGTAGTACGTGCTCATACCATGAAATCGGACCACAAACACGTAATTCCGTACCTTACCCCCAGTTTATGGTCGAAAAGTTGGTTAATATACAAACGGAATCAGATACACACCTCAATACGGCTCTTGACCCCTCAGAACCAGTCATCTCCCGTCGCCCCCCTTGGACCTTCGACTCCCCCCGCATCTCCCCACCCTACATCCGGCCCGCCCTCCGACATGTCTGATCCCCAGTCCCTGCAGGCATTGCTGTGGCCGGACGCATCGAACTCCCACTCTGGGATTTCATCCCGCGCCTCGTTTTCTTTCTCCTCCTCCTCCGCTTTCTCCTCATCCCCCCCCTCCTCCTTCGCTTCGGTCCCTGTCGAATCATCCGGCGCGGCGGCCTGCTGACTAGCGGCTGGTTGTTGACTAGCGACTGGCTGCTGACTAGCGGCTGGCTGCTGACTAGCGACAACTTGGTGACTAGCGGCTGTCTGCTGACTAGCGGCTGCCTGATGGCTAGCGGCCCTTTACGCCAAAATTTAGCGAACGGATCCGGCTACGATAGCAGATGTTGCAGGAACGGATGGTGTAGTATGAACGAAAGGTGTAGTAGGAACAGTAGTGGACGCAGCAGGAACGCTGGAGGTAGCAGGAGCGATCCGAGCCTCAGGTTTCGACGCTCGAATCAGCTCACAGGTAGCCCGGCACACGCATGCCAGCGAGCATGTCCTCCCTGCTTTTCGACAGCCGCACCTCACGTAGAGATTATTTTTACCCGGGGCCGGTTTGCAACCACATTTCGCCGTGTACGTCTTGTTGTCGGTGCCAACGTAAGAATACTCAGACAGCCATAGCACGAATTTTCCACTATCATGTGCCCCGGCCTGGTCCCCCCCCCTTTCGGGCGATCCCCCATCCCATGCCGTTGGAGTCTCGTACTGGTACCACCTCTAAGCATCCATCTTGCCAGTACACAAGCACCTGATGGCCTCGCTCGCTCTGCTGGCGCATGGACTCGAACGTAGGGCACGTTGATGTAGCCCTCTTTGAGACATGCCTGAGGATGTGCATCCGGATGACGTCGACGTAATGTGCGACATCCCCGTTGGCCATGCGGAGAATCCAGCCGGGCTCCTGGCCACCACGAGCAAAGATAGCTTCATGCAACGGTGCCCCAATCCCATTCGTGGTGCCCGCATGCCTTCGCGCGCGGCTTCTTCTCTCTCTTGCTTCCGTCACTATCGGGAACTGCTCGTGGTCCTTTCCCATGTTGAACTCGCCGCCGAGAACGAATTCCCGAAATAGTGCTCGCGGTTTTTTGACGCTCATCCTCGGCGATCTCACGTTCCTTGCGGGCCTTTGCTTCCGCCTTCGCCACCGGCTGCTGCTCCTCGTAGTCCAACTCTGCAATCTTTTGCTCCAACTGCGGTTGTAGCAGAGTCAAAGAACCTCTGGCCTTAACCCTCGCCGGGCGCTTTTTCCCTGAAGTTCGCTCCGGACCTTTCAACCGCGCGCCAGAACCTTGCGCCCGGCGCTTTGCATTACTTGCCCGAGGCGTCTGTACTACTCCCCCAACGTTCTCGCGACGTTGCGTTCCCCTTCGTAGCCTTCGCAGCAGCTGGAGAGGATGGGTTCTCCGTCTGCTGGCCAGCGGCCGGACGCCGCGGGGACACGGGCGCTGTATAACACCCACTGCCGGAGGGAACGGCGCAGCGGGGTGCAGCAAACCACGTCTTCTGTCCCGGTTAGCTATGGGTCTGCGTGATTGCACACGACCATGAAACCACCCTGAAAGCGAGGTAGGGTATCGTCACACAAAAGAAACGACATTTGGTTAGTGGTCAGTCTTCAAGTTTGTAAGCAGAGGAGCTCTCCTTCGCGGTACCACCTCGAACTGTCGGTGGTAGTTTCCAGCTGAACACGTCCAAACCTACAGTATTTTCCTTCGACGTGTGGCTAGCACGAACGGGTACGATCAAATGCTGAACTGAAAGGCTGGACGCCGATTTCATAGCGGCATAGTCTATTATGCAACACGCACTAATATTGTGTGTTGCGTTGTTGGGGCCTGCTTCGGTGTGCATTACACCCGGCCGCGCTCGTTCCTGCGGATGATTTGATACCAACACATCGTTCGGATCCACAGGTGGCCTTTTGAGGCTTGACCTCAAAATGGTTGGGGGTAACTTACCCAAATGAAGCAACTCCTTTTGCAATCGGTGGGCATGTGAGCTGAGTCTGCCTATCAATCTATTTTTTGTTGTCGCGTGCCAACGTTGTGTTCATGCACCCGCCGTCGTACACACGTGTGCTCGTGGGTGCTGGCCACCACCCATGGGATCCAACAACAAGCTTGAGTTTTGGCATCAGCATTCTTATGTGTCTCGTAATAGGTGGGTATGTGAGCTTAGTACATAAAACAATCAAGTTTTGGTTGCATCATGCCAACCTCACGTAAGTGCACCTCCCACCGTCCGTAACACACACGCAAGTACGGATGCTGCCACCACACCAGGGATCCAACAACAAATTTGAGTTTTGATCTCGTTGTGCTTGGGTGTCTCTGGACCAAATGAAGCTATCCTTTTGGCAATAGGTGGGTATGTAAGCTGAGTACGTAGCACAACCCTTACTTGGCTGCATCATGCCAGAGTTATGAAGAGGCTGAGGTGCTGCTGCTGTTGGGTACGTGATGTCGGTGGCTGTCTTCTGGAGGTACGCTCTGAGTCTATTCCGGATATACACTGCTACGCTGCACAACCGGTCTAAAGAGTCTTCCCGACCCTAGCGTTTGAGTAACCCAGCGTAAGTTTGTCGGAGATTGGACGCCTACGGTCCTGTTTCGGTCTCTGTCGACGTTGATGTACGGTGAGTACTGCGCGCATCTCGCCGTTTGCTTAAAGGGGTTTCCCGGGGGGGGACACGTTTCCGTTGGAGGCCTCGTTTTGCCTATATTTTCCTTCTTTTTTGCTACACGCAGCACTGGGGTATGGTTGTATCTCGTGCAAACCACGGCAGTGTACTAGCACGAATGTCAGCATAGACCCACCAAGAAATATGTCATCGTGAAAGACCTCGTTGCTACACACCTGCCGAAATGATAAATTAGACCCGGAACACGCGTCGAACAGCGGGGATGCACGCATGCACGATCCATTTCGCGACCGCGGGGGCACAACGAGTAAGATTAATACCAACTTGCAGGGGTTGGATTGCTCACGCGTATCCCCCCGAGCTTTGGATTGTTCGAGAAAAAAACAAGCAAGATCAAATCTCCTCTCGCCATCCAACTCTGTGCATCAAGCAAGCTTCCACGCCCCCTCCCACGAGTCCCTAAGAATCAACAGCTACCGCCAATCTCTTGCAACTCACGGAGACGTTAGGGATCTGACCTGCGTTCTACGAGCACGCAGACCAGTACAAAGCAGCACCCGGACCGTTAGTCTTCCACAGAAGAAGGAGCAAATATGCCGAACGCGACGGCTGAGGCACACAAGGCGTGAGTACGTGGTTACCACCACCCCCACGTAGGGAGTGACTTTGGACAGCTATGATCCTTGCCCTGTGCGGGTTAGTAAATAATAATGAGAAGGCGACGCGATCGTGTTGTGCCGAGGGTTTGCAAATGGTATATCTTTTCCCGCCACACAAAACCTCCCGCTGCGCTCTCTCTCCCTTCTTTTCTTCCAGCAGTTTTCTCTTGCCCGCTGTTCCGCGCGCCTCCCACCTGTGCTTATTCTTCGTTCCCGCCGTTGCTGGCTTGTCTTCTCTTATTCGGTGTGATGGTTGTGATTGTTGTTGGGTTTTCCCCCCTGATGGTGGTCGTATTGCCCCTGTCCTCCCGGTGTCCGGCTGCGCAGCGCAGGGAACGGGTTCTTCAAAAACGGGGACTACCGCAATGCGATCGCAAAGTACTCTGACGCCATCGCTGCTGACCCCAACAACCACACCTACTGGTCCAACCGAAGGTACAGATCACCAGCAAAAACAGTGCATAGTTTGCGAAGGTGTGCATACGTGATCCAGTGATGCATATCTGTATTAGCGTGCGGGATCTTAGTATGGGTGGGGTCTGGTCTCAGAACAGGCGGAAAGGACACCCGTCTGGTGCGAGGTGTTTCCGGTCACCGCCATGCAGCAAGCAGCAGTGTTCGTGAACCTGCTGTGATGTAAGCGGCATCTTTCGTGTCTTCGCGAATCGAGAGGTTTGACGTAGATATGCCTTTGCTGTGACACAACAAGCCGAGTCATGGTTAATCTTGCTGTGTATTGTGTGTGATTTTTAGAAGCTCGGGAGCGTGCTCTATGGGTGAAACCACAGCTAGGATGCCGTGAGTCTAACTTGCAGGTGTTGCTTGAGAGTGTTGTCGATCTTGACCCAAACGCTGCCGCAGGAAACAAATGCCACTCTTAAAGCCTGATTTGCTGAAACAGCAATATACTGGCTGCTGTGTTTGCGGGTGACAAGCGGCCGTGCACGCCCCACAACGGGCGCACGCCATTGTTGTCGGCAACGTAGGATATCCACGCACCTCGTTGCTCATGTAGCCGTTGCCCCTGCGGGAGAAGCGTGCCTTCCGCATGCTACAGATGCGTATGACATTATTGACAAGCGGCTCCGTCATGGTCGCTGCCTGTCTGTTGGTTTTAAGTGTCTCCGGGTAGATGGAGCGCCCGCTCCCCTCTTGCGGGTTTCCAAACGATCCTGCGTCCTCAGTTTTATGTTGTCGCCAAGCGTGTACCAGGCAGGCATAAATCTCTCTCAGCTAGATCGGGATGAGATAAGGTATACCTTGTGTCCTGAACTCGATATTCGACGTAGCCCAGTCGTTGGGTAGAAAAAAAAATCGAAAGGCTAGGGCTGACAGAGCTTTGTGTGGTAAATTCCTCCGCACCTCCCACCTTGTTGCACACCCCTCCCACTAACGTAGTACTTGAACGTTGTCGTTTCGATTTGCGTCGTCGGTCAATGTTTTCCCTCTCCAAGCGCTTCTTACGCGGGACTGATGGAGTGGGAGGAGGCGGCGCACGATGCGGCGGAATGCATCAAGGTCAACAAGAACTTCGTAAAAGGTGGGCGCTGCTGCTGTGCATCCACAAGAGAGCACGAGTGTGTTGTACGAGCTCGCTGGTGGAACCACGGCACAAGTTTCGAACGTGCATGCAGCGAGAATTTGTTGCGTGGACCGTGATGGAGCTTTTCCTCACTGTCGCTGTTGAATTGAACGACCCCGCTACACACCGCAACACCGCCAACACTGGTGGTGTGCATATTTCCCGTGTTTCTTCTCGGAGGAGCACTCTGGCTGCCAAATAGTATATTCCGTGGTCGATGTATGCTTTTGTTTTCTTCGTCATTCCGATACAAGCGGGTTGTTCGATTTGTGATGCAGTCGGTGAGTCATTGCTTGCGCGTCGTGGCCAGTCAGTCCCGTTTCTTGGGGCTTGTCGGGAGGGTAGGATTGCTAATCCCTTGTTTTTGGGAACCTACCGCTTTGTTGGGGGCGGCCTCATCTCGTATACTAGCCTATACCCGCGAGGAGGTTGTCAGCGCGGACGTGCCCATCTCTTGCTTTCTAGGCACAACCAAAAGCTAGAAATCGCTCTCAGTGAAGCAGATGTGCAAGTTGTCGGAACGGGCTAGTAGCCTGGTTCCCCGCCTTGTCGGCGATGTTTGTGGCAATTTCAGGTGTTGTGTTTGCGCTCCTTCCAGGGGTCTGTCATGCAGCTGATATCAAAGCTGCAGTCGAAACCACCCTGACAATGCGTTACTGGTACCGTTTTTTCGCGGGTGATGTATAGCAGGAAGCATGGGAAAACATCTCGGGGCTACAAGGGCTCTCTCAATCCTTGCCTGAATATGTGGCGATGTAGTTTGACTTGTGTGTGATGAAACGCATCGGCTCTTCGCTTGTACGCACCCCATGTCGTCTGTTGCCCTGCCAAGCCCCTTCGGTGCGTCAGGGGTCGAGTGCGAGTATTCCGTGATCTGTTTCTGCCTTCCCTCTGTAACTTCCTTGCGTTTGACGAGACCAACAACGCGCCTGTTTTTCTCCCCTCTCAGGTTACTTCCGGTTGGCGACGGCGAAGAAGAACCTGAACGAGTTGGACGCTGCTGCTGATGTCATCAAGGCAAGAAAGAACCTGTTCGCTTCCCTTGCGCCGCAGAACGACCGTCAGGACCTGTTGCTGTACCATGGCTCGCACCATACCCCACAACGCATGCGTTGTCTAGATGTCGTGCCCCCCATCGTCGCCCCTCGTGTTTCCCTCGGTACTACAAAAGTTGTTCGTCCCGTCCTCTGGGGGGACAGCAGCACTGCTCCTCGCTCTGTTGAACCGACAATTCGTGGAGAGGCTTTTTTTTCTTCGTGTTGTCTGTTTTGTTGCGGCACTTCAGCTTAAGGGCTTGCAGCTTTTGCTTCGTCAGCCCTCAGACGGGACGGCATAATCAATAGTGCCGATTGGTTGCGGTGAAGCGCTGGCGCTCTCTCTGACACGACAATTACATGGAGATCATGTTGCTACGTGGTTTGTTGCTGCCTTTAGTGCAAGCTACTCTCACGCCAGTTCGCTGCCCTCCCCTGTTGTGCGACACCCTCATCTGCGCTTGCTCGCGGCCGATTGGACCGGGTCTCCGTATGCTCACTGTTTTTGGATGACAGCGAGGCTTGTGTGTGGAGCCACGCAACGCCGATCTTAAGAAGAACCTGAAGGAGATCGACGAGCTTATCCGAGGGGAAAAGGTAGCGAGACATGCGTGTGGACTGTGGACGGACGACTGCCGTGGAGCTTGCTGTTAATTTTGCCGCGAGTTTTCCCGACTGGCTGGTTACGAGGGCCTTTGAAACCTGCGTTCGAACAAAGTGTCCGTTGCCATAGGCCCGTCGACTGCATCGGGGGTTGACCGTTTGTGTCGCGTCATTCCGAAAGGACTGGCGCACGATGGGAGCACAATCTTCTAGACTTGCTGCTTCGGTGATTTTCTGTCGAGCTTATCCCCCCCCGCCCCCCCGAGAAGTTGTCCCGTATCCAGTACCCGGTGCTGAACGTAGTGCCTGCGGACGCGCGCTACGAACCCGTTGGAAGAAATTATTCTGCGACTGCAAGTCTTGAAGGACGCAAGTGTGTTGGAATGCAAGAGGGTAAGACTTGTACTCAGCAGTAGTGTTCCGTCGTAGACACGGAACCCCTCGATCTAGCTGCGTGAGATGAAAATACCGAGCCGATTATCTGTATTTCGCGACCTACGGGGTGTGCACCACTCTGCCCAACTGATGCCTTTAACTCCACACACCCCTTGAGCCTTATCCCGAGAGTCTGTCGGCCCCACCCCTGTTACAGCAGGCTTGACAGCAGCCGACGACCATACGACTGATGCCAAGCGATGCAGATGACTAATTCTCGCCCCCGTCCCCGCCCGTCGGGATTGTCGTCCATGCCACGTCGGAACACCGCAGGTTTCCCAGTTTGTCGCCCAGGCAGAAGCCCAGCTCAAGGCCGGAGAATACGGTGCCGCGTTGAAGGCGGTCGAGGCTGGTATGCGCCTGGACGCCGGGAACAAGGACTTGCAGGCCGTGCAAGACCGCGCCAAGCCCAAGTTTGAGGCCGCGGAGCGATCTCGGAAGTCGGGCCTCAGCTCCACGGCGCTGCTGAAGGAGAAGGGGGACGACTTTTACAAGAAGGCTTCCTTTGAGGTGTGCCTGTATGATGGAGGAGTTTCATATTTATGTCTTTCGCTTGCCATGGTGTTGGTTCACGAGGGTAATGCTTGGCGTTGGGCATGTGAGGGTGGTGGGTATGATGACAATGGTGCTTGTGTAAGGGGCGTTTGCGTTTGAACGGCAACGGGTGAGAGTGTCGAGGCCGACACAGGGACGGCACACGACGGTGGGTACGATCGTGAGCGGTCAAGTGCGTTGGGTCGGCTTTCGAACGGGTGACGGTATGAGCGCTCGAGTAAGGCTACCGTTGTGCGTGGTATGTCTATGCGCACGTGGGTTTCGAAATTTTGGGCACCGCTGGTATACCTCCGCCAACGATAACCCCACATACCACATCCGGGATGAACGCAGTCGAGCCCACGACGCATGATATAGCGCTTAATGGCGCTGGTGTCGTGATTTCTCCGAAAGTCCGAGTTCGCACCGCGGCTCTGGCGACATGATTCTGTCCGCTCCGCCTTCGCATGACATTGCTTGCTCTTGGTTGCTTTTGCTTGGTTGTTCTTGTTCGTTGTCTGCAGGACGCGATCGTGAAGTACACCGAGTGCCTCGACAGCCTCCCGGACAAGAGGAGCGAGCTGGCCATCAAGTGCTACAGCAACCGCTCCGCCTGCTACAAGCAGCTGTCAAACTTCGACGCCACCGTCGAGGACACCACCGCGGTGCTCGAGGTAGAGCCGGAGAACGTCAAGGCGCTGGTCAGGAGAGCGCAGGCCTTCGAGGCTATCGAGAGGTGAGAGCTCGGGGGGGGGGGGGCCC